CCCCACAAAAAAAAAAAAAAAAAAGAATGGAAGACTGCGAAATAAAATAAAATATTTATAACTAGGTGAATGTTTGATATATACATTTTCTATTGGATATAAACATTACAGCTGGATACTGATATTCCTCATCATTTAATCCATTTTGTTACAAAATTATTGCATTTAATTTCCTTTGTGCAAACAAATTATAAGGGACGTTTCACAGATATTCTTTGAAGAATGGAAAACTCATCCATTGGACTTGTTTCTTTAGTTTTCATTAGTCAGATTAACCTTTCCCTTTCTCCTGTGAAAAATTACCGACTTTTTTCCCTTTAATTTTTTATTTCAATTACTTTTGTACATTCACTAACATGTTACTTAGTTTTAACAGTGAATATTCCAACATGTGTAGGTTTCTCACCAGTCCATTTATCAATGCTATAAAGTTATCTTCTATAGATAATAACCCATTTCTTTGTCCCATAAATGATTTGCGTTTCTATTTTTCTCTTTAATGTCCTTCCTCAGACTCTACTCCTTCACCCACCCTCTTCCCACACTGTATCTGGTAGTCACAATTTAAATTCTTTCACTTGATCTTTGCTTCTTGCTATATTATGGAACCCTAGTGGTGCTAACAAATTTTAACAAACGAGCAGTCAAGGCATCTTTTTTTTTTTTTTGAGAGGTTTTTCACCATAGGGCGTGTGTGCTCTCCAGACAGAGAGAGACATAGAGACAGAAAGCGAGAAATCACCCCCCAGGAGGAATGGTCATGCCGCAATCCCTTCTCCTCCATTCTCCTCTCGGAATTTTGGGCACGCACGCACACGTGCCTGGAGTGAGTTTTAAGCCACCAGGTCCAGGACGTGAACCGTGGTCGACTGTGGGAGTCCAGCAACATAGCCATTACGCTAACTGCTGGTTCCCTCAAGGCATCTTTCTGAAGAACCCACAAGAACAAATGTCCTTGCCATTTATAATCTAGAACTTTGCTATAAACATTTACACAGGCGGTATCCTCAGTAGCTACCTCTCACCAAGTCTCACCTGGTACCCTGAGACTCCTCCTTCTATCTCAACACTGTAATGGTCACTTAGATAGTAAATCTATTTACATTGTCAGTGGTGTTTCCCTGACCTATGGATTCTAAGAACAAGTGAAATTTCACATATACACACAGTAGTGATGATTTCAGCCTGATACCGAGATGATGGTTTTCTATGTGACTTGGATAAACCATGAAATGAACTTGCAGAAGCAACAAGTTAATACACACGCACAAACACACACACAAACACACACACACAAGTGAATACATGCACACACACACACACACACACACACATACACACATACATCTCTCTCTCTCTCCCTATCTTTTTATATTCTATTAAAAATGACCAAAGGGTAATTTTAAAACTATAAAGACAAACATGAAGACCAGCAGGTGGTGTAGTGGTTAAGGTGATGGACTCCCTCGTGGCTGACCCCAGTTCAAGTCCCTGATCCAGTAGCTTGAAAATCATGCTGGGCGCGTGTGCATGCATGCCTAGAATCCTGAGAGAAGAAGGGAGTAAAAGGGATGGTAGTGTGGCCGCCAACCTCTGGGTGATTTCTAATTTTCTCTCTATAAATAGCTCTCTCTCCTCTCCAGGGAGCACACTCTATTAGAAAAACCTGGGGAATAAAACAAAAAAAGGCAAAAACAAAAATGATATAAGGCAGGATAAAATAATGAATATATGTAGTTAAAGTTAAAAAGCTACTACATTTAACTTTTTCCATTATTTCTGCTTAGAATGTAGAAAAGTTTATTGTTAATGAGTTCCAGTTTACATTTTTCTGGAAGAAATAAGACCTGGGCATGTTTAATTAGAAATGTACGGAGGAGGAAACAACAAAAGCCTACAATTAGCTGTATCCACATTACTTTGAAATATGAATTCAAATTTAGGAAATGTGATCATGAACAGTGTTTCTGACTCAAGAACTTGACAGAACACGAAGTGATGAAAAATTAAATAAAAAACAGAAAGAGAAGTTACAAAGATGATGCTAACAGATCACAAGACAGTTATTCAGAAAGTATTTCTAATGCTGACTCAGTCACAAGCCATATAGCAAATCTTTACTTTCGTCTTTTTCTTCACACTGGAGAATTTTCCAAAAATATCCCCTCTACATATAAAAAAAAAAAATTGTTGGCATTATAAGTACCAACAAAACATTGTATCATTGATTTTAATGTTCATTCTTAATCTGCCAGGCACAGTTAACTGCTCTTCTGGCTTGTTTTATTTACCTCTACTGTACATGTTCCCATAATTATTTATATGTTTATCTCCCTTGCTATGATGAAAATCATTCATTATCCAGTACCATAGCAGTTGCCATGTGATGGACCCTCTACATCAAAATAAATGTTTTTGAGTACATATTTGAACTAATAATATTTTTAAAATCCTGTTTCTTAAGGAAACAAGACAGACTATACCATTGTCTAAGAAAAAGAGCTAGGAATTATCTATGCTTCCTCTTTCTCCCTCCCATCTAGCCCATTCAATTTTCAGTAATTCTGCTCTATTCTAGAAACCACATTTTTAATCAACTTCTTTCATCACCACTATTTCTCCCACCCATGAACTAAACTTCATATCTCTATTTTGGAATTTTGTAATCTATTTTAATTGGTTCTCTTACTTCCACTTCTGATTCATGTATGATATTTATACATTTTTGAAATGTTCAATCTATATCATTTCATCTCAACTCTCAATAAAGGGAAAAATAAGCTTTTCATTATCACTGGTAATAAAATATAAATTTCTTGGTGTGGGAAAGATGGCACTAATGATTTAGTGCTGGCTTCTTTCTCAGATGTCATATTTTAAAAAATTATTTTCTTTATTTTATTTGTCATTATGGTTATTTTTAATTTGACCAGAGTGAGTCTCTCTCTCTCTCTCTCTCTCTCTCTCTCACACACACACACACACACACACACACACACAGAAAGAGAGAGAGAGAAAGCAAAAAAGCAAGCTGCCAGGTCTGGGACTCTTATGGCAGTCAGCCATGTGGGAGTCCAGCACCTTTAAACACCACGCCACCTGCTGGCCCCTCAGATGTTATATTTTACCAATCCATTTGCCACCTATTCTAGTCACAAAGACCCTTATATACATCAAATACATAAAATTGTTCCCAATTAAGGTCTTCGTGCCTCATTTCTTGCCCCTTACCCGCAGAAAAACGCTTCCACCGTAATTGCATATGGTTCAATTCTTTGTGTCTCAGAGTGACGTTGCCTAATGATGTACCTTAAAGCATTCTCTTTCCTGTCCTCAGACATTTACAATCACACAATTATCTTGTTTTACTCTTTTTATTCTATGTTCATCATCACTTAAAATTACTTTGTTTATTTGGTTACTTTTTTGTCTGTCTTTTCTTTTCTTCTCTTTTCTTTTCTTTTCATTTCTTTCTTTCTTTTTGAGAGGTTTTTGCTATAGGGCACATGTGCTCACCAGAAAGACAAAGACAGAGTGAGAAGTCACTCCCAGGGAGGACAGCCACGCCACAATCCCTTCTCCTCCATTCTCCTCTCAGGATGTTGGGCATGCACACACTCGCGCCTAGTGTGAGTTTAAGCAACTGGGTCTCGGACTCGCACCATTGTCGACTACATGGGAGTCCAGTGACACAGCCATTACACCAACTGCTGATCCCACTTTTTTATAATTATTAATTCCAAATTGAATGGGATTTCTAGGCATCACAGACTTTTTTCTCTCTATCACAGACACACAGAACAAAGCCTAGTATAAAATAATAGCAGTCGAGAATTATACACCAAGTGAATAAGTAAAATAAGGACTAGAGCATCAAGTCCTATTTCACACTCTAGAGTTAGAGTTTATAGCCTGTCATTAAGAGGAGATCTTAAGGGGACCAGCAGTTAGCGTAAAGGCTATGTTGCTGGACTCCCACGAAGTCGACCACAGTTCGTGTCCCGGACCTGATGGCTTAAAACTCACTCCGGGCGCGTGTGCGTGTGTGCCCAAAATCCTGAGAGGAGAATGGAGGAGAAGGGATTGCAGCATGGCCATCCCCCCTGGGGGGTGATTTCTCGCTTTCTATCTCTCTTTCTCTCTGTCTGTCTGGTGAGCGCACACGCCCTATAAAAAAACCTCAAAAAAAAAAAAAAAAAAAAAAGAGGAGATCTTAAAGTTTTAACTTTGGAATCCCAATTAATTTTATTCATTTAAAATCTACTTTATGTGTTTGTTTATTAACATTAACCTTTTAGTTAAAAAAAAATTAGACGTGTATACAAAGTAATACAGAGAAATCCCATCTACCTTTACCCAGTCTCTTCAGTGGTAACGTCACAGAAAACTCTTCTATGATACCATCATGAGGATGTTAACATTGAGACTATTAAGATACAGAACAGTTCCATCATCACACTACCCAAGCACCCTGGTTCTTACTACCTGGCAACTTCTTATATCTGTTCCATTTCTAGATTGTTGTCATGGGAAGAATGCTGTATAAATGGAATCATAGAGTATTTAAGCATTCTAGTTTATTTTTTACTTCTTTGCCCCAGCAAAACACAATCTCTAGAGATTCCTCCAAAGAGTTGTTTGAATCAGTTTCTTCTTTTTATTGTTGTACATTTAGACATCACAGTTTGTTTAAACATCCATCTGTCAAAATTTACCTATGTGTGTTCCAGTTGGGTAGTTATTTCCACTACAGATGCTATGAACATTTGTGAACAGGAACATAGGTTTTCATTTCCTTGGGATGGATGCCCAGGAGTGCAATTGCTGTGTCATATGGTTATAGCACGTTTAGATTTCAACAGGACTGCCAAACAGTTTCCAGAGCACCTGTACCATTTTATCTTTGTACCAACCGTGTGTTAGTGATTCAGTTTCTCTAGTCTTTGACAGCAGTTTGTGTTTTCGTCTGTATGCATATGGTCAACATTCTGGTAGATATGTATTGATATCTCATGTTTGTAATTTGTACTTTCCTAATGGCTAATGATTATTTTTTTCACGTCCTGTATTGTCATCTGTATATTCTCATTTGTATAATGTCTATATGGATTTTCTTGTTGTATTGCTTTCTTTTTTCTTTTGGAGTTTTGAGAATTATTTTTTCAATAATTATTTATTTATTATTAATTTGTTATAGGGCATGTGTGCTCACCAGAGAGCGACAGAGAGAAAGAGAGAGGAAGAAAGTGAGAGAGCAAGCTGCCAGGTCTGGGACTCAAACTGTGTTGACCATTTGGATTCCAGTGCCTCAAACACCCTATCAGAAGTCTTTATATATTTTAGGTACTAGTCTCCTGTGGTATACATGGATTATAAATATTTAATTCCATTCTATAGCTTGTCTTTTCTTCCTCCTAATAGTGTCATACATAAAAGTAAAGTTTTAGTATTTGTGAAACACAACTTATCAATTTTTCTTTTTCTGGATTATACAGTTGATGTCAATTCCTTTCTCATCTCTTGATCTAGAAAATTTCCCACTAGGTTTTCTCCCCTAGCTTTCTCACCCAACTTTTATAGTTTTACAATCTGTACTTAGGTCCATTACCCATTATGAGTACATTTTTGAATAGGGTATGGAATTTAGGTTAAGGATTTCTTTGTTTTTGTTTCTTTGGGCCATAAATATCCAATTCCTCCAACATTGTTTATTGAAAAGCCTATCTTTCTGCCAACAAATCCTTGTGCTCCATCATCAAAATACTGTTGAGCATATGTCTGATCCCATTCCTTAATTCTCTTAGTTTCACAGATCTGTGTGTCTCTCTCTCCACCAACACCACACATTCTTGATTATAGTAGGTATATAGTAAGTTTGAAACCAGGTAGACTGGTACTCTCACTTTATCTTTCTTTACAAAAGTGCTTTATCTACCTTCTGTGCTTTGTCTTTCCATAAGCATTTATATATCTGTAAAGTTTTCTTAGTCTCTTATTGCATTGCTAACACAGATACCTGAGACTGGATGATTTGTAAATAAGTAGGGCTTTATTAACTCACAATTTTGGTGGCTGAAAAGTTTGAAGGCATGGGACTGGCAATAGGTTGGCCAGGGAAATACCTGACTGCAGTGCAGAGGATGGCAGGCAGGTGAAGACAGAGAGCATCTGCATCCCTCTTGTCTCAGTCTTCATGTTTCTTGTCTCTTTCATTCAGTTGAGATTTTAACAGTTCTTGGTATAATGAGTGATATCCTTTTGTTATCAAGACTAAAATAATTTTAGTATTGTGTTTCAAGGCTCCAGGTCTTTTGCCATCATTTTAGGTAGCTTCCTCAGGCTGGACTCTGTCAGGATAAGAAGATAATGCCTTTCTATTGTTAGGTAGTGGTAGAAAAATGAGTTCTCCATCAGACCTCCATTGAAATGGTTGAGGTCAAGGAGACTTGTCCTTACTGCTGAACAGATGTGAAAGTTTTCACTACTAAGGTGGACCACACTGACAACACGTGGGGATTTGGGAAACTGGTCTTTTGATTTCTGGCAGCAGTACAAGTCCTGACTCTCTTACTAGGACATATAGTAGCCCAACCAAGACAGGGGGAAGCATCTCAATACTGCTGGATGGGGGTAAGCCTGAGCTCCCCACAGGTGTCTTTAACATCTTCAGGAGTGCTCATTACTTCCCATGGAGATAAAAGTTCCAACTTCATACTTGCCCTTTTCAAACATGACCATATTGTAAGGGTGGGTGCCCCCTCTTAGCCTGGCAAGAGTGGAAGTGAGGCTACCAATGAAGCCTTTGAGGGAATGAGTCAGGGCAGGGCCGGTTTCTTTCTGCTGTTCTTGACTGGAATAAAGAAGTTATTGCCCATGTTTTTGTATGTGGCTGGATTTTCCCATCTTAGACCTTTTAACTAAGGACAAAGAGCTTTTGTCAAAGCTCTTATTTTCCTGCAACTTCAAGTTTGTGAGTTGTAGTTTAGTCAGTTTTAAGTCTGAGATACATAATGCTAAAAGAAACCCCAAATAAGTCACTAGCAATTATTTCCTTGAGTTCCAGGTTTACAAGTCAGTCTGTTTTCTTCTCTTCACCTTTGGGAGTCTTTTTATGTTTGCATTATATACAGTGGCCAGGGCTTATAGTTATACCTAGTGGAAAATACAGGCAAAGTGTGTTTACTTTGTCTTTTTTGGAAGTGAGAGTATATCCAATGTACTACTATTTGCTGATTATCGGTGGATTATTTCTATTATTTATGCAACTTTTCATTCTATGAGCTAAACATTTCTCCTTAAAGATTACCATTATGATTCAATCAGAAAGTATCATCTCATTTAAAAAATATTTTTGTCTTTCATGCTTTTTTGGTTTTTCTTTCTTTTTGGCATTTTTGTAGCTATAATCATTGAGCATTTGGCATAAAAGTTTTGTGTTCTTTTTTTTTTTTTTAATGCATATGCAGCATCGCCAGCACTAGACTGACAGTTTTTAGAGGATAGAGACCAGGTTTTGCTTATTCTCAGAATACCTAGTCTCATACTATACACATGAAAGGCACTTGCACTTTTTTTTTTCCTGGAAAAATGAGTTATTTGTTCTTGTTAATATTTCATTAAGTTGGATAAAATGTCAGAATTTTTTGGAACTCATTATACCATAAAAAAGAGTACTACAGGAAAATGTTGTAGTGAATTCTGTTTGAATTTAAAGCCTATCCTTGTATTGGTATCACACTGCATTTGTCAAGACAGGTAAATCTGTTTCTCCCATTTAGACACTGGCTTGCATGGCTCACTGAACAGGTGCCATTAATCTCTGACTTGGCTGTGGGTGGTGAATGGCTCATGGCGTGTGAACTCGTAACAACAAAGTTTCCATAGTGGACTTAGCAAACAAATTCGAATGTCACTAAAGTTTTAAGTCTTCCTTGTTGTTAAAAAATCTGAAGTTCTTGTGAAAGTTGTATGATACTACTTTTGCTTTCAGTCATTCTGTGTCATAATTTTTTTTCTAAAATGTATTGCTGTTTTAAGCATCTCAATTCCCATTATTCTTAGAGAAGTTTTGTAAATAGTTTGTTGTGTTATCTGCTTTCTTTTCTCCTTAATGGTACACATTGTCTTCACAATTCCTCTCTTCAGCTGGTCTTACTCTTCTGTAAATTTACGAAAAGAAAATTGAATATAAATTTATCCATGATATGCTTTGTAGCCTCCCTTTCTTTAGTTATTTTTCTTGTTATTTTTATACATAGCTTCTTATTGACACTACAAAACTCCCACAAACTTTAGATAGATACATTTGCACGTTGGGAAACCTTAATAACCACTTTAAATTCTGACTAAACACATTATTATGTGGATAACCTTGAGCAATTTTCTAAAAAACAAATAATGAGGGGCCAGCAGGTAGTGTAACAGTGATGTTGCTGGACTCCCATATCACTGACCATGGTTCAAGTCAAAGACCCAGTGGCTTGAAACTCATGCCTGGCACATAGGAGTGCATGCCCAAGATCTCAGAGGGAGAGTGGAGGACACTAGATTGCTGTGTTTGGGCATCCCTCTGGGGGATGATTTCTCACTTTCCCCCTCACTGTCGCTGTCTCTCTCTGGTGAGTACATGTGCTCTAAACCAGAAACAATCCTCTAAAAAAAAATTCTTGTTGAGCCTCAGTTTACTCATCTTATCATTAAAAATTAGGAATCAGAATACTGGCCCAACAGCAACAACAAAAAATAAATAAAAACAAAACCTATTGCTTTATTAGTGAAAAATTCCATGCTGTTCTCAGGTTATAACCACAAAAAATTAAGGAAAAAATGTTTTCAAGACTTAAAAGTGGCTTCAAAAATCTATGCCAGTGTTAGTTATTTTTTAAATAATTATTTTATTTAACTTTATTTATTTTTAAAATTTGACTGGAGAGGGACAGAGCGAGAGAGAAATGGAAAGTGAGAAAGCAAGCCATCAGGTCCAAAACTTGAACTGGGTTGGCTATGTAGGAATCCAGTGCCCTTAGCCACCTTGCCATCTGCCAGCCCCAGTCAATACTAGTTTTAAAATAGTAAAATCAGAGACCAGTAGGTGGTACGGAGTTTAGGGCACTGGGTTTCATATGGCTAACTACACAGTTCAAATACTAGACCTTGAAAATCAAGATCTACATGTTCTGAAAATCCAGAGAGGAGACTGGAGAGAAAGGATTGCAATGTGACCATCTTTCATGGGGTTGGTGAAAGCTTTCTCATTTTTTATTTCTGAAACATTTTTTAAATTAATTAATTTTTATTATTGTGAAGAAGTCCTTAGGGTATGAACTCCAAGTTTAATCAATAATAAAATTCTCATTAAAAGGTATTAAAAAGAAGTACAACTTTTGTTAAAAGTTTTATAATAGAAAAATTCACATTATAAATTGTGACCTATTTTTATATTTAAATTTCATATTTTCCATCAAAGTGTGTCTGCTGATTTTTTAATATTATTATGTAAGAATAATGAGGATTATTTTTATTCACAAATAAACCATTTAATTTTTGGAACATCACATTTTTTTTAAACAGCCAATGGGCATGTGCACTCACC